TGGCAGGTGGAACAAATAGGTGAGCGGGCTCCACAGCATCGTCGCACATCCTCTGTCCGCGTTTCTGAGTCCGCTCCGTGGTAAAGCCTTGAATGTCACCGTGCAGAGGGAGGATGAAAGGGTGAGTGAGTTTATGTTAAAATGACCGTATTGTCTGCTGTAATTTAATACACTTGTTGGACACTTGTGCAATAGGCTACGTGTGCGCGCACTTCGAACGCAGTTTGCAACTGTTATACTTTCACAATAAATTTTGGAATGTGTTTTCCACTTCCAGTGTGCTCTTTGCTAAGTAACATGGCTCCCAAGGTCTGCATTACCCTCTTATCTCCTCCATCTCAGAGCTGAATTAGACTCAGTGCTGATGTGATGTGATCTACATTAAACATCCAGTTACGCTAAATGTGTGTGTTTTAATATAAATTAAATTCAGCTTTTAACACATGTTTTCAATTTGGCACAGCCACTTAGGCCTCTGAGATTGTTTTTCCTTTGGCAGGATGCTGTAGACTGGGCATGTGATTTGTGAGATTGTGGGTGTGGCTCCATCATGGAGGTGAAAAAGGATGAGGGTGGACCATCTGGGGATTCCTTTAAGCAAGGCTGTCACAGGACTGCCATTGTGGCCAGCTTTGTACTTTTCCTCATTATTGGGGTCTTTGTGGGATTGCTTACGAGTAAGTCTGCAAACTCAGTAGCTTTGATGTTATCTTAAAATGCTACATTACCAATTACCTAACTGCTCTTTCTTCATCATACCAGCATACCTTGTGCAGGAACAGCACAGCTTCATGGAGACAGTGGAGCTGAAGGGTCTGAACTATGATCCAGCTCTGCAAAATATAAACTCTGGGTTCTCCATAATGCTGTCTACAGTCCTAAAGTCTAAGGTTAGTGTTGTCTAACTTTTTGTGGACTACTTTTGTATTCAACTTATGTGTTATTCACTTTTTTCTCTTTGTTTTAGATAAAAAATATATTTTCAGCCTCAGCTATTTCTCATCATTACACTGATTGTATTATTTTGGCCTATGGGTATGTTGAATTGTTTTTGTTTGTTTTTATTGGATTAAAACCAAAAAAAATATTTCAAATAAACTACATTTTCTCCATAGAAATATTAACGGAGGGGTCATGGTGACTTTTCGACTGATATTTAAAAATTCAAAGATTCAGCAGTATTCTGACAATTATGTCCTGGACTTGCTCAGAGTTGGGCTCAACTCAGTAATGCATGGCCAGCCACTAGAGGTGCCACAGTTTGGGCAGATCAAAGCTATCATCTTACTAGGTATGCAGACTGCTTACATGATAATAACAAATCACTTACACTTCTGTGTGAAATGAAACTAATTTTCCCATTTTCATCAGGAGCCAGTGGAAAATCATTTTATCCCATTGGGAATGACATTAATGGTGAGTTTATATCATTGTGTTTTACTTGTGTTTGTTTAAGGCTCTGTGTATAATAATGGCTTTGCTTTATAGCCAGGTGCCCCGATAACACCTTCACTTGTGATAATGGCGAATGTTTGACCAAACTGAATCCAGAATGTGATTTTCTACCAGACTGTGCAGATGAATCTGATGAAGCACGCTGTTGTGAGTAGTCTCTTTATATAGTGTAACAAAGCAGAATAAGACTCCCTTACTCATGCTTATTTATTTCTGCCAAAAGTGTAGTTATATGCTAGCAATCTTTATTAGAAATTATAAGTACAAAATGTTAACACTAAATTACTAGACACATCTGAATATTTCTTAGTCCCTCATTCGCAACAATTTGGTTCTTTGACCTGCCTGTAGACTGAGAGAGTGGTCTGGGGCTAAAACTATTTCAGTGTCATTGTTTAGTGCACTCTTTGGTCTCTGTGCATGTAAAAGTTGTGACTGTGTGTCTCTGTAGCATGTGGGACTCGTCCTGCCATGGGGAGTCGTGTAGTGGGTGGAGAAGACGCCAGACACGGAGAGCTGCCATGGCAGGTCAGTCTGAGGCTGCATGGTCGACACACCTGTGGGGCCTCCATCGTCAATGAACGCTGGCTTGTCAGTGCAGCACATTGCTTTGAGAGGTGAGTGTTTATAGCTTTGTTATGTAGACTGTCACTGTATTGCACATGGTTAGTTGAAATGAACTGATGTTTTTACAGGGACAAAGATCCCAAAGAGTGGACAGCACTTGTAGGGGCCCGTCTGGTGAGTGGTGAGGAGTCTGAGTCTAAATTGGTCAACATCAAGTCACTGATAGTGTCTCCAGATTACAACCCCATGACCACGGACTTTGATGTTACTGTTCTGGAGCTGGAAACTCCCCTTATCTTCAGTCCTTACATTCAGCCAGTCTGTCTGCCTTCTGCATCTCATGTGTTCTCCCCTGGACAGACCTGCATGGTGTCAGGATGGGGAGCACTTAACCAGTTTAGTCGTAAGTCTACAAGCAAATAGAAAACATAGTAAATACATTATATTATATTCAATGAAGGATTTTCATTTGTGTGTGTGATAAATTTGCCCTTTTCTCTGGAACTTAGCTACGGTGCCCACCAATCTGCAGAAGGCAGTGGTGAAGGTCATTGACTCTGCAATGTGTAATAAGACATCAGTGTACAGAGGAGCAGTCTCTCATAACATGATGTGTGCTGGCTTCCTGCAAGGCAAAGTGGACTCCTGTCAGGTTTGTCCTTTATGTTAAATAAATCATATTGTTATTGTGTAATATCTTGTTGCAATCCCATCAGTAGTAATGGTGAAAATAGTATTCACTCATTCTTGTTTTTCTTGCAGGGTGATTCTGGAGGGCCTTTAGTGTGTGAAGGAGCCCCAGGCAGATTCTTCCTGGCTGGAGTGGTCAGCTGGGGCATAGGCTGTGCACAAATCAACCGACCTGGAGTATATTCACGGGTAACCAAGCTTCGAAACTGGATTTTGAGCTACACCGAATCAGAGGTGCCCCATGAAAAGCCAATGTTGGACACCAGTTTGCAAGCCACTGTTTCCGAAGAGACTTTCTACAATGCACCTGATCCTTGGACAATAGCTTTGGATATGCTGTCTGATACATCACTTTTTGGTATAGCCTTCTAAATAGGGCATTTAATATGTGTGTGTGTGCGTGTGTGCATGCGTGTGTGTGCGCGTGTGTGTGTGTGCGTGTGTGCGCGTGCGTATGCGTGGGCGTGCGGGTGTGGGTGTGTGGGTGTTATTTGTTGTTATTTTTTTTTCCTTCAATTTCATCTGTTTTCCAGTTTCAAATTGTACTGCGAATTTCCAGTGTAGTGCCACTATGTGCATAAACAAGGTAAACCCAGAATGTGATGGGGTTGTTGACTGTCCTAACCAGGCAGATGAACATAACTGTGGTAAGTAAATATATTTGCAAGTTGTTTTTTTTTGCAATGTACAATGAACCTTTCATTTATTATTCATTTGTTATATTAGCACATTTTATAATAAGTTGTGTTGTTTGTTTTAGATTGCGGTATGCGTCCAGCATTAGGTTCTCAAAGGATTGTGGGTGGAGTAACAGCCCGAAGAGGTGAGTGGCCCTGGATTGGCAGCCTCCAGTACCAAAGGCTTCACAGATGTGGTGCTACTCTTATTCACAGCAAGTGGCTGTTGACAGCAGCACACTGTTTCAAAAGGTACTGAATAATAAAGTTATTAATAACCGCATCCATGTGTAAACACATGAGTGATGTGAGTCTCTTTTTACAGTGACTCAAATCCCAATAATTGGGCAGTTATCCTAGGATCTGTGCTGCGCTCTGGGGTAGGAGCCCTTGTCATTCCCATTCAGAGGGTCCTTATTCATCCACACTTCAACAACACCAACATGAACTATGATGTGGCTCTTTTGGAGCTGTCTATGTCTGCACCAATGTCCTACACTATACAGTCCATATGCCTGCCCTCTGCAGTGCACCGCTTCATGACAAAAGCTGAGTGCTACATCACTGGATGGGGGTCAATGAGGGAGGGAGGTGAGTACTATGTTGTAACATGAATGTCAGTTGCATTTTATATGCTTTCATCACTTTATAACTCTTAACACAGGCTCCCTAACTAACCTACTGCAGAAGGCTACTGTGAACATCATTGACCAGGCAGAGTGCCAACTCTCTTATGGAAATGTGCTCTCTCCAAACATGATGTGTGCTGGGTACATGGAGGGGGGCCGGGACACTTGCTTGGTGAGATGTAGTACAAGAATTGGGTGACACACAAACCTTTGAACCTTAGGCTGGTCTTTTGGGAGGGCTCTGCAACTGTCTTATTGTTAAACAGAACATTTCTTTGATTCTTATCTCACAGTGAATAGTTGTTCAAGATAGAAAGTGAATGTTTCCCTTTCTAGGTTACTTTTAAAATTTTAACATTTACCTTTAACAATACAAACTGGTTCTTTAAGTATTTTCTTTTAAGGAACATTGCTGCACTTATGTTTCTTATCTGATGGGACTGAGTGGACTTTCCTTCCTAAAATACAGAGCTCCCCTTCTCACCTGCTCCCTCACTGTAATCTTCTTATGTAAGGGAACCCACAGGCATTCCTGTCTCGGTCAAAGCACCTGGCATCTCAGCAGCTATTCATTCTCTTGTGCTCTATCTGGCCACCTTGCTCCCACTTAATGATATTGCATTCAATGTAAACATGTGAGTTCTTAACATGTTTTCTTTTGCAGGGAGACTCAGGAGGACCACTTGCATGTCGTGAGCCTTCAGGCCAGTGGTTTATTGCTGGAGTAACTAGTTGGGGCCATGGCTGTGGAAGAATAGGTTATCCTGGTGTATACACACGAGTGACTTCAATTAGGAAGTGGATCTCTACAAATGTGCATTTGTGATGAACAAGGAGCCTCTTAAGGACACATCTTTGAGGTCTATATGAACCAAAGTTTTTTTTTAATGTGACGTAAGGTCATGGGTGCTCTACAAACTTTTCTGTGCAATTATGCCACCTGGGACAATCTAAAGTGCACTGAAAAACTAAGACACAGGACTTTCTTTGTACATGTGTATTTATTTCAATTATTTATTTACCAGACTCTTATCATCTTCACGTTTTGTACAGGCAGTGGATTATTATTACAAAGAGTTAAAAAAAAAAATCACTTTTACTCCCATGTCAATATTTTAGAGGTTTAGGTTCCACTCCTGTGGAAACAATGCAAGTACAGAGCCGTTGGCCCACAATTACACATAATATAAAGGCCCATTCATATCTTATCAATAACATACAATATTCAAGGAAGACTCCATGGATACAAGCCCACCAATGTGATGGCAGGACACAAAACTGTATTGTTCTCCAAGTATGCTTTTGAGAGGGACAGGAACTGGTTTGGGGGTTGTAGGTCTCACTTTTCAGATGTCTTTTCTGATGTCTCAGTAGAAGCATGCCTGACAAATTTCACTACACTCCTTTAAGCTCCAAAAATTTTGGCACAAATGAGAAACACTGCAAATTAAGCAAATCTACTGGACTGAAACTGTGGTATTTGCACAAACGTTCCATAAACAATTTATGCACAAGTGATGCATTATAAGAGCACAGCAAAGAAAGGCTCTGTCCTCTGTCCCAACTGTTCATTACATTTTGTTCCAACATAATTCAACTGGGAATTGAATAAAGCTTATCTTAAAATGAAGTGTGCTCATTTCAGCGTGTCTTCACTTACTGAGTGCTTGAAACTAATATTTTATATAAAATCAAACTAAAGTTTCTCAGAGCATCATGGAGTGGTCCACGAAGACAGCACTTATGCCCGGAGTCTGCGTGTGCGGAGCAGTGTCCTTATTGCAGAAACACATCCCCATGCTGCTGTGTGGCCTTCAGCATCCCTTGTATCCAAGAACAGGGAGGGTTTTTACATGCGGGCTCTTTCCCTCTGTAGCCTAGAGCTGTATGTTCGAGATACAGTATTCCAAGCATCCATATACCGGTCCATACACATAGCAATACATTTCTGAAAACAAAACAGAATGCATATATATTAACCATCATTACTGACCAACACCATTGTAACATAAACAGACTTAACCTAAAGTTAATAATCATCTTATATATTGAACTATTGAAATTACAGTAATTACAGAATTAGTACGTAGTGAGTAATTACAATAAACAATTAAACACTGGATGAAGTTCATGTCATACCTGTTCAGAATTGTCCAAGCTGCTCCCTGGTTTGCCAATGCACTTCTTAAAACATTTGTCTGTCATTCTCTGGAATAGAACACAACATGTATTATCAATGTTCAATCACTGTTTAATTTACAACACAATATAATCTATGTACAATTTAACTGTATGTAATGTACCTTTCTTAAGTTACAAACCAGAGCAATCAGTATTTCAGTCTAAATGGTCAAGTCATTAACAAATGAGTTACTTCAAAGCTGTACACAGTCATCTTCATAGAAAATAGTATATAGATGAAGTATATATACAGTACATATCCAATGAGAGTATTCTACCTGCAGTAGCTCCTGAGCATTAGCCACAGCTAACTGGACCTTGACCTGCTCCATAATAGTCCCAGTGTCGATTTTGCCCCCCGATCCTCCAGCTGAAAAATCAGAGCCAAAGCTGTCCATCTTGCAAATGTTTAAGTACTGAAACTTCAAAAGGTACAAAAGTTCTGGAAATACACGTGCTGATCACCAGCTGCAGCTACGCCAATGTCCTTGACTGCGGCGGAAGTCTTCCTGCGTCACTTCCCGTTAAAAGGTGAGCTACTCGTGTTATTTCTACGAAATGCAGTCCAAAAAAAAAAAAAGGTTTGTTCGTATAATGGTTTATTTCATTACGCAAAGAGGGGTTTCGAAGGAAAAAAAATAGGAGAATTACTGAAAAACTATACATCGATTTGAGTTGATACACGCCATAGATATTAAACGTTAAATATCTATGGATGCACGCGCTTCGCAAAGAATGACCACACGATGGCGCCAGGGTCCATTCCATCAGCACACAACCTGCGATTTTAATACCGCTTTTCTTCTCAGAAGAGGATTGGATTCAGGTTCCTTAAGCAAGACTATATCAAATAGGCTAATTATTGTATTATTCATTTTCTGTTACAGAGTATTAAATTTTGTTTTTACTAGACCTACTCCGTGTATACCTTGCATCTTGATTTTTTTTTTACTCTTTAGTTCATAGTCTACATCAGTTAGACCCACTTAAGTTTAGACCACAGACTTTTAAAACCACAGATTTTTTGGCCCTTGGAACAGGGTGCTATAATACGCATTGCATTGTTTTCAGAGCGTGGAGGTCCAGTCATGAGACTGACCCTTTCAAAGACCCCCTCCTTATGTTTCAGACAGGATGACCTCACTGTGGACCACCTGCCTTGAGAGAACAACTTACACCACAGCAAGTCTGCTACACTCTTGGGTTCTGTGGCCTTTCAGAAATAATTGCTGGGGGTCTGATTAGTGGCACTTTGGCAGAATCAAGGGTGCTTGTGTTGCATACATGCATATGCAAATGATCACATAATAAGCACTGAGACTACTTTCATTGTGTAATACAGAAGGCAGGAGGAGGGTTAACGTGCACTATGATGAATTCACCTCAGATTAAAATCTGTTTCAATCAATTCACAAAATGTCTTTAAAGTTCTAAGCTCTTTGAGTACACCTAAGCATTTGGCCAGTGAAATGTAGTTATATTAGCCCTATTTGACCATTTTTATGTACACTACAATACTGACAATTGTAGTCTATAAAGTAATATAAATAAATAGCAATAAAAAAAAATAAAAGCATTTAGAAATAACTCTTATTTCTTCTGCAGTAAGATTTTATTCACACACCAAGTATTTACAGACATGTCTGTCCACCCTGTCCCAGCTGTCCATTACACTAGGCCAACGCACACAGTGTATTCACTCTTTGGACTTGATTGGTGTTGACAGCTAAAATCTGGGTTTTCTTGATACATTTATGTAAATCCAAGTGCTATTGAAATTCTTCAGGAAATGTGAAGAATTGTGTCCCAGAATGATCTCATTGTGCATTGGGAGATGTAGGCATGAACAGATCTGAGAGCTTGTCTCTCCCATTCCACCTGGGTTATGTTGAAGAAGCCAAGTTGTGTCAAATGTTAGAATCATACAAATATGTCTCTTTTACTACATCCAGTGTGTTTTCTAATTATTTTTGTAAAGTCAAGCAGACTGCTAGGGGGCCTTTTGACTCTGCTTTAAAAATGTTGTTGTTTAGAGGTGCACTGTATGTAAGTTTTCTGGTGAGGGCACGGGTCTGCCACCTGCTTGTTCCCATGGAAAAGTTACTGCTTTGCAGTGATAATTCCACAGTATGGCATTAATGTATTTGTCACTTGAAGACAAGTAGGTGGCCAGGTCAAATCCAATTTACAGATAATCTATGGAGAAGTGACCCCCGCAAACACTATGAATGCATGATTTTTAAGACAGACACGCCTTTACAACTCCATATCCTCGTTGAATACTATTGTGGAGGACTCCATGGAACACTCTAGACAAGCAGGTGACATAATGCACCTTGTACCCAATCCAACCTTTAGCATTTGTGTCAAATCGTATTACAGACTATAATATAAAGAATAGACTAGATTATGCCAATTGACCGTTATTATCTTTTTATAAAGGCTATCCGGTCTAATAATAGTGTCGTACCTACTAATTTAGCTATATGCATGGGTGCAGTAGGCTGGCGTATGTCTCCTATGAAGAAGTTAATTGTTATTGTCTAGTATTAGTTCTTCAGAGAGGCAGATCCCCGTAACAGAGGCGGTTTGGTTCAAGAGTTGGACAGAGAATAAAGAAGCGGTGCGCATTGGACAAAGAGTGGAGTAGGGGGAGGAGCCAGTGCCAACTCTACTCTGCTGCCTCTGCTCTTTCTCTCGCTCGTACTGTGAGTGTGGCTTTACGAGAAAGACCGAACACAACTTTTCCTGTTGTTATAACTTCAAGATCCCAACAACAAAACGCAACCCAATGGCTTTGCAACAATACGGACACTGTGGACGAGACGCTACTTTGAAATTGGAGGACCCCTTTCTCTAATTGTGCAGAAATTTGGGTTCATTTAACGATTGAAGTTGGGGTCGACATAAAGGACTACTGACCACTTCGCCGTACGGTCAAGGTAAATGTTTAAAAATGTCTATACCTAAACTACTTTTTATATTGTATAATAGCAATGTACTTTGTACTCTGTTCTACACGTGCTATAGGCCTGAAGCGTAATAGAGAAGAGTTGTAAGTAGTCAGATAGCTCTGGCTTTGATGTTGGCTGCAGCCGCTGTTGTAAAGCTGGCCGGATGTTTGCAGACTAACTTGGGACGAAAGTTGAGTACAGGCTAAACGGCCCTGCTGACCATAGTTTCATTTTTATCCCCATTTGAATTTCATAGTCTGAGGCACTGCGGAAGTATATTTCTATTTTAGCTATGCTGAATGGCTCTTTTATCTCGCTTACTAGGAAACAGTCGATCCTGATGATGTAGGTAGGACAATGAAAACAAAGTGCTGCCATATCCTGTAATTTCACCATAAAGCCCACATCATTTTTTAAAGTATGTTTTTGAAGTGTCTAATGTTCACCTTTTGTTTATTAATGTGTAGTTACGCTTTATTTACGGTAAAGTTTTCTCGTAGAATGATTTATTAAAGGTGCATTGTGTAACTTGTTAGTGGAGGATCTGCCTCCAGCTTTTCTCAGTTGATATGGTATTACATTGCTCATCATGTTCTAGTTGGGTTTTAAATGTAATATAGTTTGCACTTATTCAGGTAAGCGTTTATATTGCTAAAAAGTGTAAACATTTTTTCTGTCAGTGGGCTTGCCTCTCTACAGATCTGACCTGTAACTTGCCCCGGTGGTACCACTTGCTTGTCTCCTTGGAAATGCCATATAGTAAAGGAACTTTTCATCTCCCTGGGGCAGGTGGCTGACCATCAAGTGTAATAGTTAGGCTTCAAAGTGCACCATTAAGATTTGTCTGTTGGTTCAACAGAAGAGATATGAACTGAAGTATATCTGTATATTTGTTTGGGGTCAGTACTTTTTTTTTTCTTTTTTTTTTTACTATACAATAAGATATAAGTTGGAAAAGGTTGAATTAATAACTTCTATGTTTGATTTTTTTTAACAGTGTTGTACATTCAGAATATTTTTTGTGGTTTAAATCTGCTCTTGGGTTGTTGTACTAGTGGCATAAATTCATAAATTACGTCAATATTATCATTCACATGATTTATATTTACCTCAGCAGTATATTGCACTTCAAAATGTGTTATCGTGACAGGCCTCTAAAGTAAGTTTAAAGGCTTGATCTGAGCTGTCTTATGTGAGCCGGTAAGAACAGGCGGACCTCATTTTATTCAGTGTATTTCAAGGTGACTCATCTCCCTGAAATGTTTATGAGGGAGGAAAGCAGGAACTACTAGGCCAGGTGTTGCGTGCTTATCATTTATAACTCAGACCTATGTAAAGCTTCAGCTGATAGGCCATTTTTGATTCTCTGATTTTATGTTTTATAGACAACATGTCACGCCCAAAGTCAACTCGCCTGTTACTTTTTATCCCTTATCATATCCTCATCGCTTTCATCTTTTCAAAAGTCTGAAGTCCATTTCCGTTTGTCCAGTGACTCAGTGTGGAGGGGACTGGTGGAGGGTGTGCCTAAGTCAAAAGAATTTTTGCCTTACTTCAAAGTGCTCAAATCTACTGTTGTCTGATTTATACTGGTTTCCTTTTACAGGCCCATGTCAAGATGTCTGTCAGTAATCACGAAAACCGAAAGTCCCGCTCCAGCTCGGGATCCATGAACATCCAGTTGTTTCACAAGACGTCCCACGCTGACAGTTTGTTGACCCAACTGAACCTATTGCGCAAACGAAATGTCTTCACAGATGTTGTCCTGAAGGCTGGTAACCGTGCTTTCCCATGCCATCGGGCAGTCTTGGCTTCCTGTAGCAGATACTTTGAGGCCATGTTCAGTGGAGGACTTAGAGAGAGCCGTGATGCCGAGGTCAACTTTCACGATTCGTTACATCCAGAGGTTCTGGAGCTTCTGCTGGACTATGCTTATTCTGCCCGGATCATCATAAATGAGGAAAATGCGGAGTCACTCCTGGAAGCTGGGGACATGCTTCAGTTTCATGACATTAGGGATGCTGCCTCTGAGTTTTTGGAAAAGAATCTCCATCAAACAAACTGTCTGGGAATGATGCTCCTGTCAGATGCCCATCAGTGCCAGAGACTCTATGAGTTGTCATGGAGGATGTGTTTGGCTAACTTTGCCACGCTCTTTAAAACAGAGGACTTTCTCAGACTGCCTAAGGACAAAGTGAAGGAGCTTATTCTAAGTGAAGAGCTGGAGGTAGAGGATGAGAGTCTCGTTTATGAGGCTGTAATAGACTGGGTCAAAGCAGATATGGACCAGAGGCACAATGAGCTCCCGGAGCTGTTACGCTGTGTCCGATTGGCTCTGCTGCCGGAGACTTACCTACTGAAAAATGTCGCTTCAGAGGAGCTGGTCATGTGTCATAAAGTGGGTCGTGAGATCGTAGAAGATGCTGTGAGCTGCAAAATGAGGATCCTTCAGAATGATGGTCTGGTCACAGGGTTTTGTGCTCGCCCCCGAAAGGTAAGCCAGGCTCTGCTGCTGCTGGGAGGACAGACATTCATGTGTGATAAAGTCTACATGATTGATAACAAAACTAAGGAGATCACACCCAAAACAGACATCCCCAGCCCCTAGGAAGGAATGCAGCGCTTGTGCTATTGGCTGTAAAGTGAGTATATGTTAAATACATGTTTATTACAGTCAGTGCATTCTGTTTATATTCTGATGAGATTTTTCCTGTGCTGTAGGTTTACGTCACTGGAGGGCGTGGCTCAGAGAACGGCGCCTCGAAGGATGTGTGGGTGTACGACACGCTGCATGATGAGTGGTCCAAAGCAGCTCCCATGTTTGTGGCCCGGTTTGGACATGGATCAGCAGAGCTGGACCACATGCTTTATGTGGTGGGAGGACATACGTCTTTGGCTGGCTCCTTTCCTGCCTCTCCCTCTGTGTCTCTCAAACAGGTGGAGCAGTATGACCCTCAGACAAATAAGTGGACACTGGTGGCTCCTCTTAGAGAAGGAGTGAGCAATGCTGCTGTGGTCGGTGCCAAAAACAAACTGTTTGCTTTTGGGGGCACAAGTGTGAACAGAGATAAATACCCCAAAGTACAGTGTTTTGACCCTTGTCAAAACCGCTGGTCTGTCCCAGCTTCCTGTCCACAGCTGTGGCGCTACACGGCTGCAGCAGTAGTTGGAAACCATGTGGTTGTGATCGGAGGGGATACAGAGTTCTCTGCTAGCTCTGCCTACCGCTTCAACAGTGAAACGTACCAGTGGTCCAAGTTTGGAGATGTGACAGCCAAAAGAATCAGTTGTCATGCAGTAGCTTCGGGAAACAGACTATACGTGGTGGGGGGCTACTTCGGGGCTCAGAGGTGTAAGACTCTGGACTGTTACGACCCGTCATCAGACTCCTGGGACAGTGTGACCAGTGTGCCCTACTCTCTCATTCCCACTGCCTTCGTCAGCACATGGAAGTACCTCTCAGCCTGACCCCCTCATGGTGAGTTATTACTTTAACTACACTAGATATTCAGCCCATAGAGTCACTGTCTGTGTGTATAAAAGTCCTGGTGAGTCAACACTTTGGTGCAAGTGAGGTGGAAGTGCCCCTGTAAAGCCCCTGACTGTTTTTAGCGTTGCCGTTGGTAACAGTTACATATTATCTAACTGTGAAGGCTGGCTGTTGGATAAACACAGAGCAGTCCTGGTTTAGAGCGCTGGAGGAATGTGAGCTGTGGGTAATTACAGAAGAGCAGTGACACAGGCTGTGACTGACAGCAGCGAGGATCAGGTCTGAACATGCAGCACAGGAGATAAAGCAGTGCGGCTCCTCAGGGCTGGCCCCCGGACATACCTAAATAACACTATATGAGTCAGGAGTTTCAAACTGTTGTAAATCTTAATAGCTGATCTGACACATAGCCCTCTCCAAACTACTGGAGCCTGAAGGAGGCTTTTCTTAACTTTTCTCATCTTTGGCTTATCAAGCTAAATCTGATTATGAAAACCTCAAGATGTTTCTAAGTATATATTTTTAAAAACTCTTGTAATAAATTTAATGTGATGAGCAAGCTGTCAGTCAGTGTCAAGAGTCAGGTCCTGATGGTGAAACTGATCTTTACAGGATTGACATATGATAAAGTGGAAACACATTCTTCTCAGTATCGATATGTTCTTCCTCAAGGAACAACAGGTGCCTTCTTTCACAGATACTCAGGAGACAATACATTTTAATCTTGATCATGTTTAATTCTAAACGGCTTTGTAGATGTTGCCATGATATTATAAAATTCGTTCTGATTCAGGAGCTGATGTAATCTGTGGAAAATAGTTGACTGTCAGTGCTGCCTGACAGATTTTCTACTAGGGGTTTTGTGGTTTTATGTCATGTTTGATCTTAATATGGCCCTTAATTGAAAAACCTCTCATTAAATCACATGTAGCCTTAAGCACTGCAGTTTAATATACATTTAATTTTATGTGTAGCAACCACGTAAGTGTAGCCGTAATGAAGGAGAAAAACATCCATGTAAAGCCCTTTTTCTACAGTAAACAGCTGGATGTGATGGAGATGGGGGCTTACCATGACGTAGTGGTCCGCTGGCTCTCTGGAGCTGTTTTGAGGGGGCAGAGCTGGAGACAGACAGGCTGGCGAGAAGAGATCAGAGCAGCAGATCCTTATGAACATTTACTTATAGTGGCTCTCATCCCCACTGACTTCCTTTATGTTTTAATTACACCAGGGATGGAAAAAGCTCAGGTTTCCAGCAGCCACAACCATAAAGCCTGATTTAGGCCTGCATGGTGCTCTTCACATCCTGGACAACAGGGGTTTGGGGTAGCAGTGAAAATAAGTTTAGAAAAGCAAACCAGGGTGATCAAGTAGCATAATATCAAAATAATAATGCCATTATAAATCTGTGGTTATCATAATTTGTTAAGCATATATGAAATGTGATGATCTCACCCCCTCAGATGGGAGCAAGAGCCAGGTCTTCCTATTGATTTCTATGAGCAGGCAAGGCCCTTTTTATCTTCTAACATTATTAACAATATTTATTTTACGCCCCTCCCTAGTAGGCCTGTAACGATAATCAATAAATCGATTAATCGTACGATAACTTTTCCAGCCACGATAAATTCTATTTGCATGCTTGTTTGTTTTCCTCGCTCTCTCTCGCTCTTTCTCGCTCTCAAAGAGACTGAATGTTAGAAGCTTGTATCGCTCTCTGACTCCTCACGTTTAACAAGTGTAATGACGCTTGAACCAAATGCGCGCGTTGTCTGAGTGCAGAGGTAGCACGCCGCTGTCTGTGCGGTGCTCTAGCAGCACAAGCTAGCGCCGCTGTCAGAACCAAAACATTTGATCGCGGAGTGACAAAACAAGTCACGATGCCGAATCAACACGAGTGAACGGGACACGTTTCAACAGCCACATGCGTCAAACGCTCAAATGCAGCGAGCGCGCAAATAACGATCAGAAATGTCTCAAACCCCAACAGCCGACATAAACCCAAAGCGACACAACTAGCCTAGCGCCCGAGAGAACCCGAAATCCCGACACCGAACCGACACGACACCAGACAGGACAGAGGCTCCCTCATAGAGAAACAGCATCCTGTGTTGCGGGTTAATACGAACACTTCAAGACCAAATTGACGAGACTCACAGCAGCAGCCACAGAGATAGGAGACACAATATTCCAATGTAAGTCAATCACTAAAATAACTTTTAAGGACAATTTTGTTACAGAGACTTAAAATGTCAATATTATCGTTTATCGCAATAAATTCTTGGTCAATTAATCGTCCTGCAAAATTTGTTATCGTTACAGGCCTGCTCCCTATCTCCAAGCATTGATATAATGCTGTGATTTCACCTGAAACCTAGCAATAGTAAAAACTACAATAGTAACAACTAGGACGTCTGTCTCTGCAATTTTTTAACAAACTGTTTACGTTTGTCAGGTGTATTATAACATATTTTTATGATTGTAACACATTATAATGATGCATTTAATTTGCCGTTATCAAAAGTAGAAAAACTCTTGCACTCTGTCTTACCTGTGAGTTTTATTAACAGCAGAGCAAAATGCCATTTGGCTAGATTCTGAAATGTTGCTCCACTGTAAATAAAGCTCACCTTTTGCAATTAAGATAGTAAGAGTGCAGGAGTTTTTCTTCTTTTGATTTTGATGATGATGTGCCATCTTTATATTAAGTTCACCATCACCATTTACCCCCACGCAGTGGCCTGAGCTACAGTAAATCTGGGAAAAACAGGGTTCTATTTTGCACCATTTGGCCACCATCATAACTAAAGCCTGCCTAAAAATACTTCCTTAGGTTGTTAACTTTCAGCTGGGGTCAGAGAGAAAAATAATAATGTGTACTCGGTCCTTTCATGTTTACGACCAGGCCAACAACCACTAGTCAGCTGTTGGACCGTTCACTAGTTCTGTTGTGAGTTTTTACGCACTCGTGAAACCACTCTTCAACTCATCCTCCTACTCCCACCCTCCCCCCTGGCCGCACACTTAGCTGCTTTTGCCTGCCCTTTAAAAAGCCAACCATCCTTTCGCTAATTTGGGAGGAATGAAGGTGTGGCTTGCATTCCCATTAGTAAAGGTTTGTAAAGGAGCCTTCTGGTCATAGATATATGGTTGTCCCGGCAGTTGGAAGGGCATGTATGAGATTACCAGTCCTCGTGCTCTTTTTGTCACCACCTACTGCAGCTTGTGGTCACTCTGTGTTTCCACCAGATGTGACCAACCACAGGCTCCAGGGCCAAACCCAAAAGCCACTGTTGATGGAAAAGCATTAGGTAGTGTTTGTTATGGTCTGGATTGTTCAGTAAAATAAAATAAAATGCAGAACAATTATTTTTTTATTTTTTAAATAGAGTGACATAAGTAGTATAACAAAAATTGGCATATTGATTAATCACGATTTTTATTTTAAGACCTGTGGACTTAAGAGACTCAAGACAATCATTGGTGATTGACTGAATTTCAATTTCAATTCAAATTCAATAATTTGCACAGCCCTAGTATCGAGTTCATTACTTTTTAGTTTGTAATAAAGTAGTAAAAGCACAAAACATGTCTCCAATATTACAAAGACAACTAGATTATTATATATATCAGAAGCCCCCAAAACATATAAATAAAAGCAGGAGTTAACTAAGTAGCCTCCCAGTCTAGTCTGTGATCTCTTTACACGCATGAAACCAAGGGCATAGTATAAGCATAAGGTCATGCCACATTTGAGGCTGGTCTCTTGCCCCAAACCGCTGAACTGTAACAGTCCTGGGCTGACTCCAGCCTGCGCCGGGGCTTTTGTTTTCTCTGCCCTCCCTCCTCATCATCCCAGGCCACTTCTGAAAACACACTCACTCTCTCACACGCTTCTTTTTACCAACATGCTCAGCGGCCATCAGAGAATAGATCCAGGGCGCGAGATGATGGTGTACACCTGGACAGGGTCAGGGGTCAAACAGGGCAATGAGCCAGCTCTCCTCATCTCGAGACAGCTGCTGTAAAATGGTGGAGGTCAGAAGGAGGCACGCAGAGGCCCCACTCACTCAATACTAATGTTTTATTAATGTCTGACTGTGAGGGCCACCAGGAACACGGGCTGAATACAGCTTTTATTTTGGCATCTGTGTACAACAGAGTGACACACACAGTCAGGGGCAGCACGTGCACACACACACTTCTGCTCCCCAGAGGAATCAGACTACACATTACAGCCCTCGGCACGGCTGCTTCTATTTGCATAAACTTAATGGACTTTTTATTGGGCTTTTCTCCACGCTGCCACAAGCAGAAAAGGAAAAGTGGAGCGACGCTCCGAATGGCCGCATAATCACCCAGACTAATTTGATTAGGCCCTTAAAAAGCGATGAGCTGTCATACACTTAACGGGCACCTCTTGTGTAAGCCAGCTGAGGGCCTGGTAATTAATCACCATTACGCAATATTTGTCTGTGAAACAGTGGTCTGAGTGCAGCACACCCACTGACTCCAAACTCTTTGTTCAGTTCCTAAACATCTTTCAAGCATTCATTGAGACACGGCCCATTAACGCATGTGCTGTCCTAGTTTAAGACAGTGGTGCTCATCCTTCAGTCTGTTATTTCGCGGCTAAAACAATGATAACTCTGGGTGGTCATTAGCTCCATGACTGTTGGACAGAAAAGATTCATACAGTAAACCAGACCAGTGAAAGATGTTGATGTTACAAAGACTTTTAATACAATTTATCTTTTTAATTTTGTGTAAAAGAGTGCTTATAAAAAGTGTATAGTAATAATGAACTATAACACACCCATCTTTCATTATGAGTAACTCTAAACTAACAAAGGCTAAGTAGGGGTAGTGACAGACAGGTTGGACCTTGTATAGCTACAGTGTAAATTCCCAGTCCATCTGTTTGTCTGTAGAGAGGAAACAGGCTAGAGTTACTGCAACAGAGTCCACTCAGGCTTACACCTATTAACCTCACCACCTGTTTCATCTAACTCTCATCTGACAAACTGATATTACATTTAACACACTTCTTTGTAGATAGGCCTTTCACAGTAAATACTGTATCAATTTATTGTTAAGTGTATGATAACTGGAAGAATATAGATTATATTTTGGGGCTCAATATTTATCGTAGGTATATTTTCTTTGCAAAAGTGGGAAAATTTTTGTTATTTAGTTGTAATACAATTTGCACTGTAGAGGGTTAAATATGGCTAATTATTGGATCATTCTACTTTTTATTTGCTGCTACTCATGCCTTTTAATGCTACGGTCTATTTAAAAAGACTTTACTGGGATTATCTTGCTTTATTTATTTATTTTCTTAATCTGTGGCATAAAGTAGTTTCAGTATTATCATTTATCACAATATTTCTCTCTAGCAATATATCATGCTTCAAAATGTGTTATCATGAGAAGCCTATATTTGTAGATATTTTGCTATGCAGCTGATATACAGTCTTGCCCTGCCCATTTAAGGTCATATTTAGCAGGTTTAGTTTTATCATTGACATCAGATGGTCCTGGCTGTGACCTGTGCTGTAAAACAAACAGGAGCAGTGGAAAGTTCCATGCCTGTGGGGGTTGCATGGATAAGAGCTGCCAGTGTAGCTCTACTGTGGCTTTGATCAGGAACAGTGAGCTGACCAGCGGCACCATAACTGTTTAGTAATGAGGCCAGAGCAGTTTTTAATGTGTTTCAAAGGCATGGACCATGAACCACACAGTCCCAAGTCGGGTTCCCTGTAGTTTTCTTTCTTTTCTCCTTTTACTTGTTTCATATATTTAGCTGCTAGCCTGTTATTATTGTTAATTATACAAAATAAGTGAATATATGTTTTGATTTGAGCCATATTTGGATTTGTTATTCTGGTTAGGGATGAGTGATATGCCAAGAAAAATCATATAATTTTATAGAGTAGATTTTTGTAGTATGTTTTTATCTGTTGTCAATAGCCAAGAAATTTTTAGCGATCTCAAGCTTTGCATTATATTTGAACTGTTAGGATTTTGCAGACTGGATGGTCTTACTTATGCAACTATTTCAGTTTGTCAAGGGTTATGATTATAGCCCTCTTTCACTAACTCTACTTACACTAATGAGAAGGTAAACATTTTCTACTTCAAATATACACTTTAATATTTATTTCTTAATATAGGGATATGTTATTGTCTGTGTCCGTGGCTAGTTGCATGTTGCCGTGTTGCTTTGTGAGCCTCACTGTGCCTCGGGGGGGACCTACAACAGTAGCAGATGTGTACAGATCAATGAAAGCTTCTGTAGCTCGTCTTTGTGTTTGGAAATGAGAACGTATTAGGTTATCCAAACAGGCCCCCAGCAGAGAGACGGCCCCTAAGTGTCAACACTGCAGTCTGTTCAAGAGTAACATCCATCGTCTTCTGCTTCTCACAAAAAAATGTTAATTGCGAATAAGCAGCGAGTACGGGACTGGCTCCACACATCCACTGGAACATTCCACCGTAACAGCGAGGAAGGAAAATTAGACGTTTTGGCATCTGAGGCCAAACAGAAATGACAGGGACCAAAGAATCCAAAGTATTCAGATAAGAGAGAGATTTTTTAAAGATTGAAATGTGCTAAATATGGTTATGTCTTCATTGAGATTCAAGTATTGCACACAACATAAATGGACAGTAACCACACAAACACAGAAATATCAGTCAGTTATAGTTATATAGTTTCAGTTATTATGTTGAGTGTTTTTGTAATTTTTTTCAATCAGCTCTTTTGTAGGTTTTACATTAGAAAGTGTGCTCTCCAGAAAGCAATTGCTATAATCAGATTTTTTTTGTTTCATTTTTTGTACTGAACTGTCCTTACTGTGTGAGTGGGCTGGCATCTCCGCAAACCTGGCCCCCTCCTGCTTTTTTCCATGGAAATGTTGTTCCCTTGCCTTCTCCAGAAAGTTACATAGTGCTGCTTCAAACCATTTCCTTCACAATAAAGTTGAATCTAACCTAATATTTGCCTAGCAGCATACTTTGAACTATCAATACTTGAGTACTTCTTCTACCTCTGGCGTCACATATCACATAACTCTCTTTGCCCTATGACTAAGCATTGCCCCGGCCCTTATTACCAGCATCATTGCCATAGACATAAGTTCATGTGGACATTCCTGTTTGTCCCATACCCTCCTCGTCATGTGGTCTGGCTGTCTGAGGTCCACACACACAGCCATTCACAAGACCTGCATATTAATCTCTCCTTCTCTCTGTCTCCTCCAGGTCTACTGCCCCTGTCTGGTATGCAGCCTGTACCCACCGCACTGTGCACACACCGTCGCAGTCCATCCAACGTGATCTACATTAATATCACAGAGGCCACGAGAGCAAGTGCAAGTCTGTTTACTCATCTGTGCGGTGTGGTTTTCCCATGAACTGGTGCCTGGATACATGCCTGTGAGAAGCAATGATCAACTCTACATTCACTACACAAAGTTTGCCTTGGACACATATGTCATATTAAAGAGGCTGTACCTGATTCTTTCTGTGTAGTTGAGCAAAATGTGTTTGATCTTAGCACAGATACATTATAATCAAGCAGATTTTAAGGTAGAGATGAGATCACTGTGTGCTGTATGCATCTAATTATAAAGCAATTTATTGTCCAACAAACCAGGAAGTGCACTCTTAGCATGCTAGTTGTTGTTGTTGTTGTTGTTGTTGTTGCATTACAGAGATTGCAAAACTGTGATCTGGCTTCTGAAAGTTGTGAAACATGCTTAAAAACTAATTCCTGTGAATAATTAGTATGCTTAGAATGCATGAAGTAAGTGAAAAGTAACATTGGACCACTACAAACCGTTTAAAATAAAGTAGTTCATGTTTTGAAGACAGTAAAAATCAGGTACAGCACATAGTTTACAGTTCTAGTTTGAAAGACTGTGAAGGGCTCAGCAGTTTCTAGTTTGACAAGAAAATTGTGTATGATTTTTATGTCTTCTTCCTTTCTATATTTTAAGCCCTCGTATTCGGGCTTCCCTCAATTTTGGTGAACTAAATCTGTATCTTTCTCAGCATATAAATACATACCCACATTAAACAGGAAGGCTTTTGTGGTCAGAAAAGTTACATTGTATTTCAGGATGTTATTTTAAATTCTGCCAGTAATGCTCAGTTTGTCTCAGGGCTGTGTATAGTTTTTGTCAATGTTATCTTACTATTTTTTATGAATGTACTTAAAAACATTTTTAAGTGATCTTTAAAAACTTTATTGCCAAACTTAAGAAGCTAACTCATTTTTACTGACTACAGAATAGAAAGCTAAGTTGTTGAAGGTATAGTTAACACATTGTAACTTTAATATTTTATTTCAAATCTTAAATAGAAGTCTTCTGTGAGTAGATTGTATTTTTGCTTTTTCATGACTTTGTAGCTGCCTTTGATTTGCACAGTTTGTACAAAGAACTTTTACTGGTCTTAATTTTGTTTTTTGTCTTAACCCAGTGTAGGGTATTGTGAATAGTCCAAGCCTTTTTGTAGCAAATACTGGAGTCTTTCCTCCAACTTTTCTATGTGCAAGTCTTAGGATTTCCTGTAAAAGATGTACTGATAGTAGCTGTTTGTTATTTCATGCTCCGCTCGTGTTCTGTCAATAAACCGTCATTTGAACATGTATTTCCTTGCATTTGGCTCCTGTGTCCTCTCCTCAGAATGACTGGAATCCCACTTGTGTATCATCAAATGCAGCTCTGGTTGCTATAATCACACATGGCCTTAACATACTTCACATAGTTTACACACAACCAGGTTTGGTATTTACAGCGCACCTGTTTCTCTTCTTTCTCACCATCAAAACAAGTGGGAGTAGGATATAGTAGGTTATAAGCAATTTCATTTTCTTTTGTTTTCTTTTTTACATTATTAAAGGTCCTATATTACACAAAGTGGATTTATGTTTAAGGCTTGTTAGAATGTTGTTTGCTTTTCAAAAACATACCAGGAGTTGTGTTTTGTTTCATTCACTCACTCATGTGTGAGTAATCCTTTATTATTAGTCTGTCTACATCTCCAAAGCTCAAAATGCTCTGCTCCACCTTGTGATGTCATGTAGTGATAGTTTTGAAGTTAACAGCTCCTTTTACTTTTAGTTCAGTAGAGATCGACAATTCCAGGACTGAAATCATACAAATGATTCTAGTGAATCTGAAGTGTTTTCTGATTAGGAGAAGAACTCAGCCTAAATATGCAAGATTTGTGTGTCAAACTAAACATAACTCCAGACATGTTTCTGATGAGGAAACAACATTATAATATAAATCAGAAAATACTGTAATATGGGACTTTTAAACAAAGACATAACAGAATTAAACATAAACCACAAAAATCAGGATTAAGTTTGATACCATTCCACAGTTGTTACATAATATAGTTCACATGCTCAAAAAGTGTGTTTGTGCTCCTGTATGTTTATTATGTCTCACAGTGACATGACACTTCAATTTGTACAATACAAAAAGTACTATTATATTTTCCTCTAAATATATGTCAGCCATGATGTTCAGATTCAAAGCAATTGTTTAATTAATAATAAATTATCATAAATACTTAATCTTAACTACAACATTTGTCATTTCTATGTATATATATATATGACTCTGTAGAAAAAGGTGTCTCCTGTAGTAAAGACACATAGTGCACCTTTAAATGTGGTTGTCCCTACAATCACATTTAATGTGTTATACTCATCTACTCTATGCTGTCTCTGGCAAAGACTGGCAACTTTCCACTGCAGATTTGCTGGGTTAGGTTAAAACTAATGAGATCAAGTGATATCACGTTTTGTTGACAGTTCTATGATGTAATTGTGAAGAGGTAGAACAGGAAGCATCAAAACTGCTCATTGTAAAAAGACCAAAATTTGAAACATGTTTTTAAGAGATAATAATTATGTTGATTCAAATGTTCCTGTGGCAACAGTGTGGATTATTTGATTATTTGTGCCTCAGCTCTGAACACAAACTGCCCTGTTGATGATTTGAATGGTGTTTGCAAGTTAAATCATTGCTATTTGTTTCCTCATATGATTCTAGGGCCAAATATTTGTTTAGAATATGTAAAGGCAGCTTGCTCTTCACAAATTAAACTGCTGTCCTGAGTTTGTCCAGTGTGTTCTGTTGAGATGAGCTCTTTAATGTGTCAAATTACATAAAATGTTGGACTGTGACATAATGCCTCAGTGTTGTCGGGTCTTTTCAAGGCCAGGGACAGAACTTCAAATGGCCGCTGTTAATTGGATGTAAACAAGCAGTGGCTGCTCCAAAAACACTGATCGTCCTGTCTATGACATCATTACACAGCGCCGCCCTGCGCACTGGGCCATGCCAACACTGGGCACCATGGACAAGCTCTCAGTGTAGAGTCAGTTATCTGTGCTATGTACAGAGACAGCGGCCAAACAGACAGAGATGAAACACCCCAGTCTGAAAAGAGCTGGCAGAGGACAGCAGGGTGAGCCCCAGCTAATGACAACTATTGTGATTGTGAATGTTCAAACACATTTTACCGACTGCAATTAAAGCACAGGGAATAAATAGATATTTCAAAGTCGGTCAAAAACAAAAGGAGCTCTGATGCTGGTGAAACAAAAGATTGGACTGTATTCAACAATAACAAAGCACCACAACAGTATGACCACCCGGTCTGTGTGTCAGTTAATCCAGCAGCCACGTCCTGCAAAAGAGCACTTATTGTTGTTAAGAGTGATAAAGGATTCACTGAGGTGGAACAGGCTGAGCACCACAGTCTGCTCCTCTGCTCAAACACCGGCGTGTGTCTGCTGCCCCAGGATGCCCAGCTGGGACCCTCTCAGACCACTGCACACAGGGGCCCTCACAGCATGACATAGGAGTGACAGATCAATAGAAGCCCCACAGCAGAACTAATACTGAAGGGTTTAATGATGACAGGAGCCTTAACACAAAACTTGTAGAAAGAGAGGAGAGCTAGGAAGGGCATCTGGTCCAAAAACAGATTTCTAATTCTTTATTCAAATCATAGCATTGTATTAAACCTGTCTATCTTAATGGAGACCAAACCAGACCAAGTTACAGGTCAGATCTATGGATCTATGGCCAGCTCATGGTCAGAATGTTTGTCTTTCTAGGTATTTTTGTGCTATAATATCATCTGTAATTGAATAATGAGTAAGGCAGAGCTGCTTAATATCATATTACGGAACATTCCAGGCAGAGCAATGGCATTTCCATAGAAACAAGAGGATGACAATGACAAACCTCCAACCAAAATGTTACCTTAACATACTTTAAACCAATATTTCTCCAAGCTGGGCCAAATAGGTTTGATAAGATTGTGCATCCAGCCTATAGGAGTCCAAACACACAGTGAACAGTGAGTGCAGACTGAGGATTGAAATAGAGTCAGTAGGTACATCTCAAAATAGTGCAACGTTCTGAGAGGAGACTGCTTCACTTACATAAGTCTGTCTACATGAGAACATCTGCCCCACACTCCCTCCTCCTCTGTGGCCCTTATGCACCTTTTCATACACAGTGTAAGGTGCAAACTTTGGAGTTTTTTGAGGATTCCTGAACTGTGACCTTGTGTTGAGTATCCGTGCGTATCTCTTAGGGCAGACGCAGTTGCAGACGCAGAGCTTTGAGAACAGACTGAGTAAACAAAAGTGGAGTAAACAGAGGCAGACAGACAGGCATTGAGACAACACCAAAACCACTGCACATGTTTATGTCATCAAATACTGGCTTCACAAACACTTTTACTGTGAGGTGACTTAAAATGCATCAATTTTACAGACTACTGATAAGCAGCCAAGCACTTATATTTATTTAACATATTTAGTTGTCCAAATATATCAGACACATCAGCCTGGAATTCTTTGGCCACTCATGTGAATAATTAGGATGCACTGCTTAGAATGCTTGAAGGAATATGAGGAATAACTTTGGACCACTTTTTAAAATGAAAAATATAGAAATCAGATGCAATGCCATTAAACTCAAGCACCGTACATCAATAAGAAAACACAACAAGATGAAGAGTCAGGTGCAGGAGTCAACTTTACGTGCTCTGAGGTAGACTGCTTAAATACAGACAAGGCTAGATAAATTTCACAGCTTCTATTTCTGCCTGTCTGTGCAGTGAGGACTTGTGGTTTTGGAGCATTGTGAGAGGGGAGTGCTCAGAGCCCAACTGGCCTGCTCCGGGCCACAGTAATAGCTGTTTACACAATGGAATAATGACCCGGTAAATTGGAGAGCGGAGATAAAGAGAGGGACATGAAGTCTGCAGCTCTGAGCTCTGACAGCTCCATGAGTTGTTTAGTTGTGCTGTGGACTCAAGCCCAAATGTGTAAACACATATCATGACTGAACTGGCATTTATGATACATGCTCATTTAGATACCAAGACTAGAAGGCAGTGCTGTTAGTTGTATTTACTGTATTGGATTTAGGGACTTATGATATGATATATGATATATGATATATGAAATTCAGTACTGACAAAATATTCCTATAAGCCTGTCTTCCATTTACAGTCCCACTATACAATATTATTTTTATATATTATTTAAATAATTGTTTTAATCGTGTATATTTATAAGAATAACAATTAATGGATTTTGTGCCTTTTTCTTTTGATTTTATGGTTATGGTTTATTTAAACTTTTTTCCTGCTGTATGGAAGTACTTCAAAGGTGCAATATGTAACTTTTCTGTTGAAGGATCTGCTACCTGTCATCTACCTATTCCACAGCATTTATCTATCTTGCATTTATTAAATTATGAATATTATTATTGCTCATCAATATAGCTAAAAAAAAAAAAAAAGTATTTAATGCACACCTCTCCACATCAACTGCTTGTCTCATAGGAGATATAAATGAATAAATGAAATCAGAACTTGAAGATCCTGTAGATCCTGTAGTACAGGAAGACCCTGCAGTTTTTACCCTTTAGCGACCAACCATAGAAGTCTCTCCTATTTTCAAATATTATAGTTTTTACATACATTTCACATTTTCCTCACATGCAACTACACAAGTATTCAGAGGATACTCAAACACAAATCTAAATCTATGACATAATGCTTACACATAGCTGTTCATTGTTATTCTCTCTGTTGATCCTGTGATTTTATGAATGTGCATAACTGTCTACAAATGACATTTTTAGCATGCCTCTCCCTTCTGTTTGTATTCAGTGTTCTGCAAACTAAAGTGGGAGAAATATTTCAAGTATGTGGCCATTGTTGCTCCATCACATCCCAAAGTCACTGTGAGGACAGATTCATTCACACAAAAGAGCTACACCGTGGGCAGATAGCAGCATTCTTCACATAACAAACTCCTGTGTTTTCTGCACTGGATGGTTTGATAAAAGTGGTATTTCCTCTGGTCCATCATTAATAAAACAGAGATGTATTCCCCAGTGGGTTGGAGTGTGGTGCGTGTTTGGAGGGGTGGGGGGGCAGAGGGGACAGAGGCGATAGAAGAGTGGGGGGTGAAGACTCATTCATCATGTCTCTCTATGATGGGCAACATTTAGGTGCCTATGGGACCCACTAAAAAGACATTTCTCACTTTAGGGTCACACCAATGCCATTAGAGGTGGCTAGAGTATAGTTGAAAATTGTACT